TAGCAGAACCTGCTCCTCGTCCTCCCTGACCTTGCACAGTAACTGCGCGATCAGGCTCACTGGGGGAAACGCATACTTGCATATGCCCCGAGGCCAGCTGTGGGCCAGTGCATCCGTGCCGAGAGAGCCCTCGGTCAGGAAATAAAACAACTGGCAATGAGCGTACTCGGGGGTAGCAACAGATCGATCTGGGTCTCCCCGAACCGCGCCCATATCAGCTGGACAGACTCGGGGTGGAGTCTCCATTCTCCAGAGTGAATCTGCTGCCGTGAGAGCACATCGGCTGCCATGCTCGACCTTCGAACGCAAACCGCAGAAACTGACGGTGGTGTGGAAGAATGGAGACATGAAAATACGCGTCCTTCAGGTCTATGGCTGCAAACCAATCCTGAGGACGAACGCTGAGGATGCGCCTCTGCGTAAGCATTCTGAACGACAGCTTGTGAAGGCAGTGATTCAAAATGCGCAGATCTAGGATTGGCCGTGACCCACCGCTCTTTTTGGGTACGATGAAGTACGGGCTGTAAACCCGCTCTTCATCTCGGCTGGAGGTACCGGCTCGATTGCACCCTTCGGCAAGAGGGCAGCAATCTCCTCTCGCAAGACAGGGGCGGACAGGGGCTATTGACCTTGGTGAAATACCCGCCCGTGAACTTGGGAGGCCGTTTTGAGAACTGAAGTTCGTAGCCGAGTTTGATCGTGCGTATGAGCCACCGCGTGGGGCTGGGCCGCGCTAACCAGGCAGGCAGAGCCCTCGCTAATGACGTCATCGCAGCAATCGCCGACATACCCGCGGAGGGGCAGCGCGGAGCGGCTGTGCTGATCCGGGGAGCGCGAGGGTCCCACAGAAGAGCTGGAGGAGAGCGATTCGCTCTGGCTCCGCACCCTGACTCCGGAAAAGGGGCTTGGGGGCTGGGAGAAGGGAGACCGTCCCCCCAGCACCCGTGAGCCGCTGGCGGAGCATGTAGACCCTGCGAGCTGAGAGGCGGCGCGCCCCAGACTGGCAGGGCTTGCAGTGCTCGTGAGCCACTGGCAGAGCGCACCGAACCTGCGAGCTAGAGAGCAGATTTCAGGCTGTCACATGCGGGGAATGGAAAAAGTGCCCTTTCATTTCATGGCAGTAAAAGGTGCCATTGGAAATGGCGCCCCGCCCTCCAGCGGAGAAGAGCAAGTTCCCTCTTCTCCAGATGACCTGTCCCAGGGACGCTTCGCGGTCCGTTGCCGGACTTAGCGGCGTTCTGGGCAGGGGGAGCTGCCTGCTTCTGAGGTGCTCGACACGCTCGCTTCGCCAGAGGCGTGTGCGGGGGCGGTGCAGCTCTCGTAGGCGGGCGTCTTCGGCGAGGAGCAGGTATGGATGGCACAGCGGGCGGAGCGGGCTACGGATCCGCCGATAAGACATCACCAATCAGACTGCTCTCTCACTGCCTCGAATTCCTGGGTGAATTCGCAGACAGTGTCGCTGACCAGCTTGGGATATGGTCGAGTCAAGAAAGCGGACTTTGTCGACTTCGCGCATACCAGCCAAGTTTTAGTCAGGGGTGGCGCTCCTGGATCACTAGTGTGGACATCGTCCTCCCCAAAACACACGCAGCGGACTCAGTAGTCCGAAGAGCTTAGTCGGCTGCAGTGCGAAGCTCATAAGCCTGGGTTGGACCCACCCTAGTGCAGCTCGGCCAGCGCCTGCGCTTGGATAACGCTGGTAGGTGGCTATCGCTTGTAAGGCGGAAGCAGCCTGGTCCGTAGCTTTGCAAGCTCTGACTCCGGGGAGCAGAAACTTACAGGCTTTGGATGGGAGACGAGGCGGACCCCACCAAGAAGAGGCGCCGCGTGGACTAACCGCCATAGCGCAATCAACCTGAATAATTGCCACATACCCCCTGGCTGCTCCACCACCAAGAGTGGTGAGGGTGCAGGGACACGCAGCACGAGCAGAAAAAAGTGCTCTTTAAGGCCGCGTGAGCCTACTGTGCGTCACCGGGAAGAAGGGAACGCCCCTCTAGTTAGTCCGGCCGCGGAGCTGGGGGATAAACCCTCTCCAACCCACGGCCGAAGCAGCCCGGGAAAGCACGGCTAACACGTCCGTTTCAGTATCCGTTTTGACAGCGCTCACCTGCCCGAAGGGGGCGAGCGGGTCTGGATCATCGTCGGACAATGAAAGCCCACCCTCTGATGCCGCGGGGGACTTCTGATCTCCGGTGTCAGCGAGCGTGAGAGCTACCATCTGATTAGACGGATCACTCCCAGTACCCGAAGCTTGGATGGAGCGCTTGGAGGAACGAGAGGTCCGCGAGCCATTAGGCTGCGGATTATCTCTCGCTGGAACCCTCAGATCTGCCTGAGCGCCCGCTGCAGAGCAGGAGGCGACTAGGGTGGCTCGCTCTCTTACGAAAGCTAGCCGCAATCTCACCGCACGAAGGTCATGGCATCGTAGTGACGACATGAACCACCCCCGAGCACCACATTAACATGCTGGACCCCCAAACATGTAATGCAGTGAACGTGCCCATCATCCGGAGCCAGGAAACCCCCGCAACCAGAAACGCACAGTCGGAGCGCCGTCCTGAAAAGGACGTGCTGCTCTTTTAGCTGCAACAATACGCACCGCTCTGGAGGACCGGACCCAAAGGGATGCCAGGCAAGGGAGAAATCCAGCTCGACCATCTGCCGCTGCGTGGACTCGCTCTGGACCGGGAGACACTCGTTCGCTCGAAGTGGCTGTAGATCAGCAGGAGGAACCCTCATGAACTCGATCAGAAAAGTCTTTGAAGCGAAAAGGATAGCGTCTGCTGGCGCCAGGTGTGCTTATATGCTCAGTTAATTGGCTATGCAGCACACCTGCGCAGGCTTGCGCTGCCAATTCATTCTTAATTGGCCCGTTCAATACTCTTTCAGACGAGCGGCTTCTGAACCGAATCCTCCCATACGTGGATTAGTACATCAATCCACTTATAGTGCTGGAGTTCCCCCCGAAGGGGAACACAGTGTTAAGATCATCTTGCCATGTATAGATGTAATTTTCATAGCAATTAGCAAACAAGTCTTTGTCATTATATCCATTATACCCCTACTCCCGAGCAGCACTGAACACTGGCTGTTTAGGTTATGTCTTCCATGAAAAATACACTGTTAAATATGATTATTTGATTTTAATTACAGTTTTCTCAGTGGCTTTGGTGCATTTCTCACAACACAATTTACATTTGCACATTTAATGTATCTCTCAAAACAGTTAATCATTTGTGCACATCATAGTAGCAATTTCTCATTCCTTCCAACAAATTGCAAATGCTTTTGGACATGCATCAATCGCTTTTATACTCTCTGCTGTTTTATAACATTATAATTTGCTTATGTCACTACAGTCAAAACTACACTTGTGAATGCTGACTAGTCATTACAAATCAAACTAATAGTCCTCATTTCCGAGACATTACATACACAAATGATGAATTATTTGTCAAAATCTGTCAAGCTAATTTTATAAAAAAAATATATATATATATTTTTTTTTTTCCTAAAAATGTCTTCTAAAATTTAACAATTTCATGAATAATTTAAAGACATATGTGTGTTGTAAGTTCAATTCCAATAAGTACTGCAATATTGTTTACAGTTGTGGACAGCTCTACCCAATGGAAGCTTATGTTTGTTGTAAATAAGGGTGTATTTATTCTTTTGCACAATGCTGTGAATAAATTATAATTGCAAAGACCATATGCAAAAATGTGAAACATACATATTCAGTGTATTGTACTCAGACATCTCACTAAATGCAGTGATGTCTAACTTTACCATAGTTTTAAAACAGCTGTGCAAATAGTATATAGTGCTGTCTTTACAGAGTAAACTGCCATAATGAAAACATGACATGATGTCTTGTTCATGAACAATGGTTTCAGGACTTTTCATCTTAATGAAACTGACACTTTCTTTGACATCAATACTTGCTTTTGAGAAATGAGCTATCCAATTTGAGCAAGTGACACTTTTGCAGGTTATAAACTAGGTTTTGCAGTCTGTACTAATTGTTTTTAGAAATGCATTGACTGTTGTGCAGATGTAAATAATGTGAGAAATGCACCAAAGCGACTGAGAAAAACTATTCTTTTGCACAATGCTGTAAATAAATTGTAATTGCAAAGAGCATCTGCAGTAAAAATGTGAAACATACATGTTCAGTGACTTGTACTCAGATATCTCACTAAATGCAGTGATGTCTAACTTTACTGTAGTTTTCTAACAGATGTGCAAATAGCATATGCTGTCTTGAGCATTTTCAGGAAGTGTCAGTTGAACTGACACACATTTGCAGGTTATCAACTAGGGTTTGCAGTTTGTACTAATTGTTTTGAGAGATGCATTAACTGTTGTGCAAATGTAAATAGTGGTGTGAGAAATGCACCAAAGCAGCTGAGAAAAACTGTAACATAAATGAGTAAACCTGTTGCTTTTAAAATGATTAACTGACTGTACTTAGATTAGTCAAAAGTGAGTAAAAATGTTGCCTTTACTTTGCCAAGTAAATTAACCATGTGTATGTTTATAAAAGTAAAGTTAAATCAACTTAACAGTTTAAAGTTACAACAGTTTTTTTTTTCAATGTAAAGTCAACTTGTCACTTTTAAGGGATGAGTATACTCACTTTCAAATAATCGCTTTTTACAATGTAGTTTTATGAGCATGTGCCAAATTACAGCAAGTACCATGATCACATATAAACCATTTCAATGTGGTGATATCATTGGCCCATGAACATTTCTTGCTTGTTATCAAACTATTTCATAACTGTAACAAGAGGCAATTCAATTATAACGTAATGTTAAAACAGCTACCATAACATTATTTTTCAACATGTGTCTCTTTTTAAATTCTTGGAAGCTATAGCATTAAAAATGTTAAACTAGAAATATGTTGGAATCATTGCTTTTGTGTACATCCCTCAAAATGGTGTATGGTGATGTAACATGAATGCTGAGTAATGTAGGTTTTATCTCACGTACCTTTTCCTTATCTCACTGTTCAGGCTCTTCTTGGAAGTGGATCCGTCTTGGCGTGCAGGTTTATCTAAGGACAGGGGAGCATCTCGAATGGGATGGGGCAGGATCATAGTTTCCTGGGTAACCGGAAGGGTCTCCTCGTCACCACCCTGCTGACCCAGATGTTGCTTGGCATAGTCAAACCCCTGGACAGGCTAAGTAACCGGCAAACATTCACAAAGTTTTAGATTACAAGCATTACAAGGCATAGACACAACTTAAACATTGAACATAAATAAACACAAATAAATAAATAAATAAATAAATAATAATAATAATTATTATTATTATTATTATTATTATTATTATTATTATTAACATTAATGTATCAGCTTAATTGGAATAAATTACATATTTTTCCACTGTTACCACTGTGCAAGTTAAAAATAATGATAAAATAAACAATTGCATTAATAAAATTAAAACATTGGTGCTCATCAAACTGGGTTAATGTGGTTTGACAATTCGAATTTACTATTTTATACTATATATATATATATATATATATATATATATATATATATATATATATATATATATTATTATATTATTATATTATTATTATTTTTTTTATTTTTTAACAATGTAGAGCCCCATAACTGGAATTGCTTAGGGTTCTCAAATCACTAAGTCCACCCTTGCACATAGTAATATATCACTTGTACTGTATCCACTGAATGGAAAATTGATTTGAAAATGAAGGGGCTAGACAATGATACTTAACTCAAAATCCAATTAATTGGGTAGTCTTTGGGTAATTCAGTGAAAGTTAATGTATTCATAACAAATTAAGTTGCTGTCACATGAATGTGATAAACTGCTACTTATTTCCATATATAATGCATTTGATTAGCATGCTCAGCTTAAACTTTAATTTAGACTTTTTTTTGTATTATGCCATGCATAGATGTGTGTTAATAATAATACATCTTGACTGCCATTTCTAAACAGTTATTTTACAAAATATCAACATTATTCAATTGCATTGCAAAACTAGTTTGAAATGCAGTTCTGTGCACTGTAAAATATACTGAATGCCTTGATTTTTTTAAGCTGGATCAAATTAACCTTATGAGTCATCTGAACTAACATTACATAAAACTGACTTAAAACAGCTTGCGCATCTTATAAAATTAAGTTGAAACATGATTAACTTAGTTTAATATGTTACAAAGAACTAAAAACATATGTTGTCCTGACTAAGTGATCATATAGTTTTTTTTTTACAGTGTGGATATACAGTATCTAAAGCAGTGTATCTGTAAGATGTCCTCATGAGACATTATGAAGCAACAGTTACTGCTGTATCACAGCAGTTTCCAGACAGCATTGCCAGATCAGCAATCTGAAGATGCAAATGTACAACAGAAGTTATGTGTTTAGTTAAACTTAAATGTTGTTAACCAGGTTGTTTAATGTTATGTTGAAATTATTGAAGCAAAAATTATGAAAAAATTATGTGACGATTTCTAAACACAATTTTAAAAATAATTTTACAAACATGTAATAATTTTAGATTAATAATTTTAAAAACATATAATCACTGATATACAATGATTTTAAAAAGAGAAACTGTGTATAATGCACACTAAGAAGTAAATTGGCTATATATATATATATATATATATATATATATATATATATATATATATATATATATATATATATATATATATAAAAACAATGTTTTAGGGAAATAATTGAAAAAGAAAATTCACAAGAGGGACAATAATTTTGACTTTAACTGTACATATTAAGTGCTGTACTGTAAGTTTTTTCCTGAAGGCAGCCTCAGCAACTGCTAAATCTCTACAGTTTGTTAATAATCAGAAAATTTTAGATTGCTTTCATTTTATAATGACAGTACCTATGATTGCACTAAAGACTTTTACACCCACATAACCATTTATCATGGAAAAAGTGTCATCGGTGGTGGACGTAAATACTGTGTAAATATACTAAGAAATGTGACTGTGAGCACTGACAAATGAATCTCTACATATATTTCATAATTTGTGTTTAGTAATGCTGTTTAGGAAACTGTTTTGAAGAATGATTGTATGTCTCTGCAGATATATTCTAATATTATGAACATAATTCAAATGATTTTGCAAATAATAAACACTCGAGGAGGTACTATTCTGTAATGGCCAAGCATAATTCAGGCAATAGTTTGTCAGTTGCAGTAAATGGATAAACTAGGCCACAGGGTGTATATGGGTAAAAAAAAAAAAGCAGGTCAGATCATTATACCTAATAAATAAGGCTTATTGGACATGTTTAAAAGAGAGCTGCTCTCTGCATTTCTTTTAAAGAGGAGCATCCATGTTTTATAGTTTTCCTGAATTGATCTATTAAACACAATGTTATAACAAAGCCATTTTCGTCCCTTTCATAGTCCCGCTAACCTACTTCCAACAAAATCATCTGAGAATTTTTGACCTTATTTCTAAAATATTCAGCTTGTTTAGACGTATAAGCACGCAAAGAAACACACACACAAATACATACAAATACATTCTGATTCAAATCTAGAAAAATACTGCTGTATTGACATTTAAAACCATGTGAAATTTTCAAGTAATAGTTGCTAAAACGTGTCAATAATGTTCCTTATTTTGACAAGAACTAACAATGTAAAATAATCATACTCTGAAAAAAAAAAAAAAACTTTACCTGAATTTATCTACATTCACCTGTAAATTACTAGTTTCTCATAGTTTGCTATTTACTGGAATTTTACATTAATGATTAGAATTGCATTATAGGACATTGATTACTATTCTTAACTTATTTTTTTTTTAACAATTGTACTATAGAGTATTGGCTTTAAATACTTTTTTTGTACATTTATATGAAGAACTAACTCACATATATTCTTTAAAATGACAAAACATATAAGTAAAATTGACACTGCACAAAAATGTAATCCAAATGCTTAAATAAATGGAAAATTCCCATGAAAAACAAATATCAGGAAACTTAATTAACAGATACTTTTACACTATACAGGTTTTAAGATTTGTTTGTACTCAGTAAAAGTGGTTTATAAGGATAAGCAAATTAATAATAAATTAATTGATTTGACTTTTTCAGGTTAACTAATATTTTAATTGTGCAGCTTAATTAGCTTTTTTTTTTCCCTAAGGCCTACACTTCACATCATCCTTAACATTAGCTATGTTTCCATCCAGAGTTTATTGGAATATCACATATATGTTGAATGGAAATGCCAAGATGTGCGTGCATTTTGAAAATGCACATGGAAAAAAAATGTATGCGCATGGATAAACTTTTTATCCAAAAAGATGAGTAAACTACAATGGAAACAAATTTACTTAAAAAATTCCAGCATGCACTTTAAAAAAGTAAAAAAAAAATTATAACAATAATAATAATAATTATATATATATATATATATATATATGACATCAAACCATAAACCATTTATGACAGACTTTGACTAAGATATTTTAGACTGATCAAATCTGCATTACAGATGTTGTGCAATATATATATATATATATATGTAGCGTACAGTCCACAGATAAAATTTCTTATTGATTTTATCACGGCCCGACAGAACGGTTTTACGACTCCTGGCTCCAAGAAGTCTGGATTTTCGTGACAGCTTAAGTTGTTCAGGGGGCCTGGATAGATAAGCAGGAAAACTTCAAAGACATTCCTGCCCAAATACACTCACACACACACATACACCCCCACGAGGCTGTTCCGACAGAAAGAAAATAAACTCATCAAATCCAGAACCAGCACAAAACCAATGTGTTATGTTTTGTAAACTTTGTATCTCATTTCTGACTTTTCTTACCTGTGTAACCTCTCTTATAACCTGTATGCATGTTCCATTTAGGCCTTTGTAAAGCATAAATATTGTAAGGATATAAAAAATTATGTTGATGTACTTTGAACCCCCCCATGTTTGGTACCGATGGGTTTCTGCTGACATTTTACAACACATGATGCATAGATTGAGACCATAACTCGCATTGCTTTATTCTTTAAAGCCCTGTATTAAATGCCTGTCCGCATGCTTTAGGCGGACGCTCAAATTTGCATACGAGCAGCCCAGAGACAAAGGAAGGTTCGCGCGCAAACTTTCCCCTGAAATCATTGGTCAGAATGCTGTACGGGTTGTCACGTGACCCGCAGGTATAAGCAGACTTTCCCCCAAACATCTGGGCAGAAAGAGAACGTCCTAAAAAAGGAACATCATTGACGGTGGCCCTCGGGCCACACGTGGCTTTCTAAGCCGCATGGACTTTTTCCCGCCACGCTTTCTTTATTTTCCGGCAAAGTAAATTCAGTTTAAAGTTTGCGATCGTGTTCGTCCGAACTGCATTACAAACTCCACGCATCAAAGGACATCAAGAGTAGTTTTCATCACGACGGAAGAGAGACGCATAAAAGAGACCTCCAGACATGAAAAACCAGGTGATTTTAGTTATGCGATTAAGCTGTGCCCCTTTTATCAAAAAAGTGTTTTTTATAACCTTGGTGGTCCGTAATGGTGCGTGTGGAACTGAAAGTTTTGTCACTCTTTTACCTGAAATCTATATTTCCTAGCTTTACTATGTCTCTTTGCTGTTACACGTTCTATAGACCCGATATCTCCACGTGGTTTACCTTTGTTTTGTGTTTAATGTATGTTTGTGCGTTTGTTTGTTCGTTACGACTGACTAGTCAATAAATTCCATTATAATCAAATGAATTGTATTGTTTGCCTCATGAAAAAATGTCACTGAAATACAGATTCCCCTGCCTAGCTATTATAAGTTGTTTAAAACTTTTGAATGATTAATCTACTTCACAAGAAGTAGCAATTAAATTCCCTTTTTCTTAATGAATAGATTACCGTGTCCGCTTGGAAGAGCGGCGGCTCTGCTTGTGTTTGTTTGGTCAAATTAACAATAAATTGATCCGGAATATTAATGATTAATTATAATTCGTTATTGTTGATAATTAATATTCATAATCTGGGAATCCGCTCGGTCGCGCAAGCATGATCATTTACAATCATATGTTTGTTTGACCAAACTGACTCAAGCTTAAGCCGGAATATTAATAATTAAGAATAAACCGTTATTGTTGATTTATTAATATTCATAAAATGAGCTAATTTCATGCTACATATATATATATATATATATATATATATATATATATATATATATATATATATATATATATATATATTGCACAACATCTGTAATGCAGATTTGATCAGTCTAAAATATCTTAGTCAAAGTCTGTCATAAATGGTTTATGGTTTGATGTCATTACAGTACCTTCCAGAACTTGAGACTTGAGTGGCTGCGCTCCCAAAGAGCTAACCCAGGCTTACTATTGATACGTACCCCTTTATACATTTCTGCAGAGCGTGAAATACGTCCCAGGAGCAACGTTTTTTGCAGTTTTTGTGTCTGCAAATCCACCAGAAGCTGATGTGTATAATTTTTCAGATCTCAAATTTCTAAAAGGCCACTGTTGACTGACTGACTGACTGACTGACGGACGGACCAACTGATACTCCTACCCACCCCTTTCCTTAACTCAACCAATAGTGTTTTCAAAAGCAATCCATGAATTATAGCTCTTGCAGCTGCCTGATTTTTATCACGCTTTCAGATCTTACTACGTTCTCACCCTGTTATTCATTCATTCATTCATTTGCTTGTCGTCTTAGTCCCTTTATTAATCCGGGGTCGCCACAGCGGAATGAACCACTAACTTATCCAGCAGTTTTTACGCAGCAGATGCCCTTCCAGCTGCAACCCATCTCTGGGAAACATCCGCACACACATTCACACACTACGGACAATTTAGCCTACCCGATTTACCTGTACCGCATGTCTTTGGACTGTGGGGGAAACCGGAGCACCTGGAGGAAACCCACGCGAAGGCAGGGAGAACATGCAAACTCCACACGGAAACGTCAACTGAGCCGAGGTTCGAACCAGTGACCCAGCGACCTTCTTGCTGTGAGGTGACACCACTACCTACTCTGCCACTGCCTAGCCCCTCACCCTGTTATTTACTTGTTTATTTTATTTTTTTGGCTTTTGTTTTTGTTTTATCTGCTTTCTGGAACCATTCTTCATCAAACTCAAATGCCGTCATTACCACCCGCATCAAATGATATCACTCGATTGAATGGTCGTTATCAGTGGTTATCAACTGATAGACATGGGCCAGCAGGGGTCTTCTGCACCTACTAGTAGGCTGAGAAGGCTTTTGTCATGCATCCACATGGTTAATGAGCTAGAGAAGACTCAAGATATAGATCTGTTTTTACATCACTGTAGTGGTTGGGTTTATGGTTGGGCTAAGGGTAGTTAATAGATTTAATGGGGAATTTAATAAATAATTCTCATTAATTGCCAGCTGCAGCCGGATAATAACAGCCTTTTGAGCCTACTAGCTACTGGCCCATATTTAGCAGCTGATTACCACTGACAGTGAACATTCGATCGAGTGATAACATCCAAACTCTCTGTTTCTCAAGTCCGTCAACATACATGGCGAGCTACTTTGCATACTGGTCATGGCGAAAAAGCCATCCACACAGAGGTAAGTGGTCAGCTGATAGCGTGAAAAGAAACAGAAGCTCTCGATGGCGTCATACCGCCCCTTAGTGTTCGTTAAGACAAAAAGCAGCCATACATAGCTCTGGCTACATAATTTTGTGCTCTCCAGAAATGTATATGGGTTACATTTTCACAATGAGCCTGCAATGAGCTCTCCCCTGCCTCCAAAAGCCACTGCACATTCACTGTGTTAATTAGGTTAATTCATTTATTTAAGAAATTACAATATTCTTCTCTCTTCACTGGATGGAAACAGTGCTTTATTTGCAAATATTTTATGCGATATTCCTATTTTGCACATACTTTTAATTGGCATTTTTGGATGGAAACATAGCTACCGTGTGCACATTAAAAGTCCAGAGAAGCAGGTGAAATGATTGAAAAAGCTGAATAACTACCTGAGGGTAATAACCCACGTCTCTCCAGTAAGTCGTCTAAATGAGAGAAAACAGCATGAAGAGTCATCAATCATTTCTCTCTTTCTCACACACAGTCTTTCGGGATGAGCTCCCAGAAGCAAAGCAAGCAAAGCATGTAGCTGGAGGAAACTGTAAAACATGCTGAGTGTACAAAACACCATAACGAGTTATAATGAGAGTTAAAGAGCAAAGCGGACTCTTATGAAAAGTGGTCAAGCAGGGTGTTTATCCAGTCAATAGCATACCTTCACTCGAGGGTTGTAGTTGCTGATAGGATCACTTTTAAAATCGTTCTTGTTTTTATGACACAGGACCGTGGTGATGATGATGATGATGAGGGTCACCACACCGATGGGTGCAAGCACTGCAGCAATGATCCACAGGTTGTTGGGTGGATTCTTCACCACGGCTGCAAGGTGGAAAACACAGTTAGGCTCAATCCCAGTTCTACCCATTAGCACGTCCCCTTACCCCTACCCCTCATTTTGCACATTCATGTTAAGGTGTTGGGGTGTCCCAATGCTCTTTAGCATGAAGGTGTAGGGCTAAGGGAAAGGGCTAGATAGCCCTTGACACAGATTTTTCAGGAGCACACACGATACCAAAAGTTACAAACATTTTAAGTATACACCATCTACAACGGCAGCATGGCAGCACACGGAAGTCAGGACATGCACAAATTAGTATTTTTGTCATTCTTACGAAGTTTTATATTAAGCAAGTATTTTTATTATATTCATAATGGCGTTTGTGTTGTACCACCATGCTTAAGAAAAAAACAATAAACAAGTGTTGCTATCTATAATCCATAATTATAGTTTGTGTATAGTAGTCCTACAACATACTTTCACATCTGTCACTCAATGAAACTCGAATACCCTGTCAGAAATGTCTAGTGGCTGGGGATGAGCTTTTTACAGTGTCTGGTATCATGTTAATGTAGTTTTCGTATAGATGTTACTCAATAGTATATGTTTTTCTTGAACTAATTTCTTAAATGAATCATCTTTAAGATCAGTATTTGTGCAGATGAACTTCATCACCTATAATGCTGTGAACACAAGCCGCAAGCCAGCACGTGGAAAACTCCCATACACTCTCTCATTCACACACACTCATTAACTACAGCAAAATTAGTTTACCATATACTACTATACTATTTAGTTTACCTACATGTGTAGTACTACCACTATACCACAAGTCTTTGGACTTTGAGTCACCTTTTTTCCACATTTACTTAAGCCACTAAACTTATATTAATATATCAGATAACTATATAACATTTTGTTTGAAAAAAATAAAGCAAAGATTAAAAAAAAAAACTAATTTTGATGTTTGAGTCGCTTTTAGCAGCGATTGCAGAAAGTAATCATATTCTATGACATTATCTTTCTCTAAGATATAGAGAATTAACAAAAATATAAAATCATTATGTTAATCAATAATTAAATATGTACAAAACAATAAAGACACCAGACAACAGGAGGAAAAACAATTGCATTCTGACACTTTAAGTAACTGCATACAGTGCATATCCATAATTTGTAGTGAACCAGAAACGCTCTGGTTACTAAAGTAACCCTCGTTCCCCGAGGAGGGAAACGGAAATGCTATTGGTGGATTTTAACTAGAATTCACGAATGGGAGATTTCGTTTCAGAAAGCCAATTGTCTGAAAGAGTATGGAACGGGCCAATGAAATGCCAGTGAATTCGCAGTGTAAGCTTGCGCACCTGGAACTTATTGCCAATTATCTCCGCATATAAGCACAGGTGGAGCAAGCACACGCTATCCTTTTAAGCTGAAGTGACTGAACTAACAGCTAACAGTCATTATGGCGATGGTAAATAGCATTTCCGTTCCCAGAGGATTTCTTTAGTAACCAGAGCGTTCCCCTTCGGATGGGGAACGGAAATGCTATTGGTGGATTTTAACTAGAATCCACTAATGGGAGAAGCTATGGAAAACGCCCTAATGACTGCACCTTACCAACGCCTCCGATGAGAGGATAGTCAAGCAAGCATGAACGCTCCTACATGATGAGAGGCGCGGTCCTCCAACATGGTCCCTGGCCCTTACTTATCCCACTTCAACAGAAGTTTTACAGATTTAGATATATTTTTTGGGAATTCGTAAGCGTCTAGATAATTCTAGGAATAATACGACAGTATGTTGGGAAGCGTGCAGTCCCGATAGGGAGGACGCTGCGGAAGCCAACTGCACCCAGTGGGGGAGATATGTTGGCAAAAAATACATATGGACTAGCCCTGAAAGGGGGAGTATGCATTTAATAGGATGGTTAGCGGAGAGGGAAGATACGAGTCCGCCCGTGAGGGGGGACTGCACTGTGGCTGAATAAGCAAATGGGATTGCCTAATGGGGATCACGCATAGCGGGAACCTATACCCAAAACGCGGGCTGACCTACAACGTAGTGGGCCAGCAAGTGACTCCTCCGCTGAGTCAGTGCTGGGGGCCTTGGAGGAATCTGCAGGGCTCACCTGACGGGGAACTTTACTGACAGATAAAAAGGCGTACATATCTCTGTGTTAGGGAGAATGGCGCAGCAAGCGTGTTTCAACACCTAACCGAATTGTTTCCTCAATCACCAAGGTTTACCTAATACCCTTGAGGAAACCGGCTCCACTCGCAGATTGTAAAACCTTGCAAATGTATTAGGTGTCACCCAGCCCGCAGCTCTACAGATGTCTGTTAGAAAGGCGCCGCATGCACGCGCCCAAGAGGATGCGAAGCTCCGAGTGGAGTGCGCACGCACTCTCGGGCGACACGGCTCGCCTTGGCTTTGATAAGCGAGAGAGATGGCATGCACTAACCAGTGGGCCAACTCTGTTTCGATACTGCACTTTCCTGATGCCGACCGCATAACAGACGAAGAGCTGCTCAGATTAGCTAAAGCTCTGAGTGCGGTCCAGATAAATACGCAAAGCACGAACTGGATAAGTAAGGCTGGGTCTGCCTCCTCTGGCCCGCAGCTGCATGCCCGCAACGCACAGCCCCCCAGCCCGTGCTGGAAGCATCTGTTGAAACAACAACATGACTGGACGCCTGTCCTAGAGGCACTCCAGCCTGTAGGAACGAGGGGTCGTTCTAAGGGCTAAGTGCGCGGCAACACAGCACATTACAGAGACTCGGTGTGCGCATGCGGGCCATGCGCGTCTGGGTACTCGATCGTAAGCCAGTGCTGGAGTGGTCTCATATGGAGTAATCCGAGCAGCGTGAAGCGGCTGCGGATGCCATATGCCCCAGGAGCCTCTGAAATAATTTCAGTGGGACCACTATTTTGCTGTCGAGCTCTCTCAGACAGTTCAGCATCAGCTGAGCGCGCTCTCCGGAAAGGTGCGCTGCCATGGTGACCGAGTCCAGCTCCAGCCCGAGAAAAGAGATTCTCTGCACGGGGGCGAGTTTGCTCTTTTCTCGGTTGACCTGAAACCCCAACAGGTGGAGGTGCCGGAGCACCTTGTCTCTGTGCATAATCAATTGCTCCGAGAGTGGGCTAAAATCAGCCAGTGGTCGAGATAATTGAGTATGCGGATGCCCGCGAGCCGAAGGGGCGCTAAGGCACCTTCCGCAAGTTTGGTGAGAACCCGCGGAGACAGAGAGAGCCCGAAGGGGCGGACTTTGTATTGCCAAGCTCGACCTTCAAGCGCAAACCGCAGAACTGACGGTGGCGGAGAAGAGTGGAGACATGGAAATACGCGTCCTTCAGGTCTATTGCTGCAAACCAATCCAGAGGACGAACGCACCGGAGAATGCGCTTCTGCGTGAGCATTCTGAATGGCAGCTTGTACAGACATCAGTTTAAAACGCGCAGGATTGGATCTAGGATTGGCCGTGACCCACTGCTCTTTTTGGGCACGATGAAGTAAAACCTGTAAAACCTGCTCTCCATCTCGGCTGGAGGGACTGGCTGGATTGCATCCTTCGCCAGGAGGACAGCACTCTCCTCTCACAAGACAGGGGCTGACCCTGGTGAATACACACCCATGAACTTGGGAGGCCGTTTCGAGAACTGAATCGCATAGCCGAGTCTGATTGTGCGTATGAACCACTGGAAGGGCTGGCCCACGCTAACCAGGCAGGCAGAGCTCTCGCTAATGGACTCATCGCTATAATCGTTGACGTACCAGCAGGGGGGCAGCGCAGAGTGGGTGTGCTGATCCGGGAAGCGCAAGGGTCCCGCGGAAAAGCTGGAGGCGAGAGATTGCTCTCACTCCGCACCCAACTCTGGAGGGGAGGCTCGAGGGGAGGGAGAAAGGAGACCATCCTCCCAGCGCTCGTGAGCCACTGGCGAAATGCACCGAACCTGCGAGCTAGAAAGCATAGCATTTCAGACTGGCAGATTTTGGGCTGTCACATCCGGGGAAGTGGAAAAGTGCTTTTTCATTGATGTTTTCATAGCAGTAAAAAGTGCTGTTGGAAATGGGCCCCGCCCTCCAGCAGGGAAAGAGCAAGTTCCCTCATCTCCAGATGACCTGTCCAAATAGCGCTTTGCGGTCCGTTACCGGACTTAGCGGCGCTCTGGGCAGTGGGGCTGCCTGCTTCCGAGATGCTCGACGCGCTCGCTTCGCCAGAGGCGTGTGCGGGGAGTTGCAGCTCTCGTAGGCAGGCGCCTTTGGCGAGGAGCAGGAGATATGGATGGTACGGCGAGCGGAGCGGGCTTACGTCCCGCCGATAGGTGACATTACCCATCGCCTCAGACTGCTCTCTCACCGCCTTGAATTCCTGGGTGAATTCACAGACGGTGTCGCCGAACAGGCCAGCTTGGGATATGGGGGAGTCAAGAAAGCGGACTTTGTCGACTTCGCGCATATCAGCCAAGTTTAGCCAGAGGTGGCGCTCCTGGACCACTATTTTGGACATCTTCCTCCCCAACGCACACGCAGCGGACTTAGTGGACCAAAGAGCATAGTCGGATGCGGTGAGAAGCTCACAAGCCTGGGTTGGACCCACCCTCGCGCAGCTCGGCCAGCGCCTGTGCTTGGTAGCGCTGGTAGGTGGCCATCGTGTGCAAGGCGGAAGCAACCTGGCCCGTAGCCATGTAACCTCTAGCTCCGAGGGAGGCAGATAACATACAGGCTTTGGACGGGAGACGAGGCGGACCCCGCCAAGAAGAGGCGCCACACAGACAAAGATTGACCGCAATAGCGCCCTCAACTCGAGGAATCGCCACATACCCCCTGGCCGCTCCACCATCATGAGTGGTGAGGGCGGAGGGACACGCAGCACGGGCAGAAAAAAGTGCCCTCCAAGACTGCGTGAGCCTACTGTGCACCTCCGGGAAGAATGGGATGAGACGCTTCAAAGGCTTTGCCCTCTGGTCCTCTACGTAGCACCCATCTAGTCGGTCCGGCCACGGAGCTGGAGGATAAACCATCTCCAACCCACGGCCGAAGCAGCCCGGGAAAGCACAGCTAACATGTCCATTTCAGGATCCGTTTTGACAGCGCTCACCTGTCCGAGGGGGTGAGCGGGTCTGGATCATCAACAGACAATGAAAGCCCACCCTCCGATGCAGCAGTGGACGTCTGATCTCCAGTGTCATCAAGTGTAAGGGCTACCATCTGGTTAGATGGATCACTTCCCCCGCCCGAAGCTTGGATGGAACGCTTGGAGGAGAGGGAGGTCCACAAGCCTGTGGGCAGCGGATTATCTCCCGCTGAAACCCTCAGATCTCCCCGAGTGCCCGCTGCAGAGCAGGGGATAGCTGGGGTGGTTCACCCCTTTGCAAGGGCTAGCCGCGATCTTAATTGCGCAACAGTCATGGCATCGCAATGACGACTGCCCGCAAACACCGCATTAACATGTTGGACCCCCAAACATACAACGCAGTGATCGTGCCCATCATCTGGAGACAGGAAACCACTGCATCCAGAAGCGCACAGTCGGAGCGCCATCCTGAAAAGGGCGTGCTGCACGACTGTGTTGCTCTTTTAGAAAATAAGCAACTTACACGAACCGCTCTGGAGGACCGGACCCAAAGAACGCCAGGCAAGGGAGAATCCCAGCTCGACCGTCTGCCGCCGCTTGTACCCACTCTGGACCGGGAGAATTCTCGTTCGCTCCAATTGCTGTAGAAAGCAGGAGGAACCCTCATCGACTCAATTAGAAGGCTGTGAAGTCTCTGAAGCGAAAAGGATAGCGTGTGCTTGCTCCACCTGTGCTTATATGCGGAGATAATTGGCAATAAGTTCCAGGTGCGCAAGCTTGCGCTGCCAATTCATTGGCATTTCATTGGCCCGTTCCATACTTTCAGACAATTGGCTTTCTGAAATTAAATCTCCTATTCGTGGATTCTAGTTAAAATCCACCAATAGCATTGAAGTTCCCCATCCGAAAGGGAACATATTGTTTCTATAGAAGCAACCATACATTTTATATAGTTTTATATTTTACCAGCAATTTTCTCAACTCAGTTGTGTCAATTGAGGTATTTCATGAGATTGTAGTTCTTTCCCTTAGTTTAGCTGTTAAGAACAAAGTCTTAAACTTCTGTCTTTTTGTCTGATTTTGAAATTTATTTGTTTCAAATCCATGATTGTAATGCTATGATTCACCTCAAAACTGGTTGCTTTAGGTTTATTGGATTGTAGTGATTTACCAATTAAATAAAAAATTAACCCTTGTGCACTGTTCAAATTTACTACCCTTTTGTTATGTTAGAGATGAAAACATCCACTAAATTAAACTGCTGTAAAAATGCATCAGATACATATTTGTTTATTTATTTATTTATTAGTTCGTTCGTTCGTTCGTTCATTTATTTATTTATTTATTTATTTATTTATTTATTTATTTATTTATTTATTTATTTATTTATTTATTTATTTATTTATTTATTTATTTATTTATTTATTTATTTATTTATTTATTTATTTATTTATTTATTTATTTATTTATTTATTTATTTATTTATTGCATAAATCTGTTGATCAACCTCAGTCCTGATCAAAACTACTAAATGTTTTTTTTTTTTTTTTAATTACGGCATTTCAACTCTTGCCAAAAAAGAAAATAAATTGGTAAATCCACAAATTATTTTACTGATTTGGTGAAAAAAACACACAAAATTACGTATTTTTTAATATAAAAGTAATTGTGGAGTGGATTTTTTTAACCTTTTATCACAGTCTTGGACATGTGAACGATTTATAACAACATTGGCTTTGATGCATTGTTAAATTTTCATTGATAGACTAATTTACTGTTGGTGGCTGTTTTTGCCCCATTGACTTCCATTTTAAACACATTTGAGGGTGTATAAATATACAGTCTTTGTTTTTGTTTACTCCATGTAGTTCTGAGAGCTGAGATGCATATTTTAATTTTCTCAGGCACATCAAGGTAAGTGCGCAAAGGTCATTTTCACATTCTCACACACTCAAAGACACAAATACACACACTTTAATTTGCTTTTATACTCCATATAAAATCCAGAAACTAAGCTTAGCTTTTTCGTTTTTTTTTTTTTTGCACAGACCTAAGGGTTTAATGGTGCCAAGTGAAGGCTAATTTTACCTCTTCCCAACAGGGAAAACCACTAACAATCAAAAATGCATAAATATATGGTGTCATGATTTTGCAATCAATAAAATGCAGTTATAATGGAAGTCAATATAGGTTTCCCAATTGACTTTCATTAAAACCACATTTTATTGACAACCACCAAATGAAAATTATGGAGAAAAAATTAAAATCAATCAAAAACAATGCAACAAAGTCGATGTTGTTTCACATATCCAAGCCTTTGATGAAATGTAAAAAACCATCCAGTCCGCAATTACTTCTTATATTGAAAATAGGTCATTTTGTAAGTTTTTTTTTTTTTTTTTCACCAAATCAGTGACAGACCTATAAATTTAGCAATTAAAAAGTTAAATATCCTGTAATTTTCTTAGAAAATTTAGTAGTTTTGATCAGGACTGAGATTGATTAACAGATTTATCTAAATAATAAACATTTGCCCCGAGTGTATCATTGATTTTTTAATAATTTATTTTTTTATTCAAAGCATTTTTTTTCAAAATATGTCAAATACGATGTCACTAAAAATCATTCTGCTAGCTGAAACACAAAAAAAAAGTTAGGGCCAAATTAAGACTCAAAATCACCACAGTGTAGTTGAAAACATCCTCAACCGTACTTAAGGGTTAACAGGAAAAATACTTCCAGAACCAGCGAGGTTGATAGAAGGGGTTGGGGACTAATGCACTTGAATAAACTGGTATTTAAAGCTTAAACTGTGATATTATGCCATAGTTCATACTGTTGTACAATTGACTTAATTATCATTGCTGTAATCTGCTAATAAATAAATAGTAATAATGAGTAATTCTGACCTTCAGCCTGCAATTGGACAAAGTATCCCAGTGTAAGCGCCATGGTCTGTGAGTCCACTGTGTTCAGAAGCTTGGCTGCAGATGTACCAAGCATTGGGGTCCCATTTTGCTGGACATAGTAGGTCATCTCAGCTGGGTTTTTTGTCCCATGAACACGCCTGATACTAACCATCTGAATGCAATGAAACACCTTGATTACTTCCAATAGATTTTTTTCATTACATAATCTACAGTAGTTCACAAATTTGCTTAATACTATGCAACTCCATTGTGTAATACCTGCACAGTGTAACTGCCCACTGTTGTTGCCCGTTTGAAGCGAACGCCTTGCTGGTGGGCCACCATGAAGAGCTCAGCCAGCCGCTCCTCCATTAGACTGGCAAAGCTCTGGTATTGCACTTCCAGAGATGAGTTTGACACATCCTGAATCACTGCAAGAACACGGAGAAAAAGGACTTTAATGGGCATGGACAGAAGACTTTAAATAAAAGTCTTGGTTACTAATCTCACATCTCATCCCTAATCTCAGAATCCACTGTGCTGCATAGTGTAGCTCCAGCCATAATCAAACACATCTAATCAAGCTGACTCAGTCAAGAGTACTAAGAAAAAGGTACAGTTTAATCAGAGTTAGAAATAAACTCTGTAGGATGATGCATGTGCAGTTCAACCACTGCTGTGGACAATGATTCTAAATTCTGGACCTCATGATCCATTTTCCTGCAGAGTTTACACAAAAAGTAAATCTTAAGAGTGTTGATGACTCCTCTTTTGCTCATAAACCTTGTGAGATTCATTTCCATGTCATTCCCAGGGGTGATTATCAAAATGCTCAATGTTTATAAAAATGTCAAATACATACTGAATGTTTTAAATACATTAGAAAAGACAATTAATCCCTCTCTAAAGGGATTATATATAGGCAAGGCATGTCAAGTTTATTTATATAGCACATTTCATACAATTTCATACATTATAGTCTATAAAGACATATTATCACTCTATTAGTATAATGAAGTATTATACTTTGTAGCAGCTTCTATAGTTCAATCATTTTCAACATTTTAAACATTTGATTCAGTTTATAATAACAACCATGATGCTATTCTGATGCTATTCTTAACAAATCTGTAAGTTTAAAACATTTTGATTTTGTTTTCTATTTTGTTTTTGGCTCTGCAGATGAAAACAGTTCTGATCAATGCCAAAGCAAGAACTTTCATTTCTGATAATTTCCTCAATGATGAGCAGCAGTACAAGTCTTGATCAACTAAATAATTATAATTATACAGTATATGATATTAGCTATGTTTCTATTCAAAGATGCAGATTCAGTTGCGCAAAACAGGAATATTACATAAAAGACATGCGAATAAAGAAGCATTTCCATCCAATGAGTCAAAGAGAACTTCCTGAGAAACTGGCGCCAAATATCAAAAGTAAAACCTTGCTGAGGTAGAAGAAGCTGCATGAAAATTTTCTTTATTCAATAAATGACTTGCAAATGCAATGAACATGTGGTGGCGTTTAAAGGTGTAAGACATGCCACACAGTTCTGGAGGTAATTAAAACTATAACCACACTAATACTAAAATAGTCACCAAGTTTTAGAATGACCAAAACAACATTTCAGATGTTTTACAATGTGGTCAGCCTGCAGCAAATTCGAATGTTATCACTTGAATGAATCAGTGGGTATCCGCTGATATGGGCAGTAGGGGCCTTCTGAGCCTCCTGGTAGGCTCAGAAGGCTGCTATCATCCATCCACATGATTAATCATCTATAGATCACATATGACTGTTGCCAGAAGTTAATGATAATTATTTATTTTATTTATTAAAATACCCATTAATTGTATTTTATTAACGTCTACCCTAACCCGAAACCCAATCGTCACAGTAATATAAAAACAAATCTAGATCTGGAGTATTCTCTGTTAGTATAGCTGATTAACCATGTGAATGGATGATAACAGCCTTCTGAGCCTACCAGTAGGCACTGAAAGCCCCTTTTGGCCCATATCTATCAGCTGATACTGATAACGGCCATTTAATTGAGTGATAACATTCGAAGCGGGTGCAGAATGCTATATTGTCCGTTCATTCACATTTTTTTCATCAAATAATCTCTTATAACAAAATCACATCACTTTTTTAATGCGCATAATAGAATTTGTTCGGTAAAAATCTTTCCTTCATGGTTTATGCACATCTGTGCTTATTGAGTAAAAAGTTTTTCCTACTAGTTATGCGCATGCGTTTTTATGCGCATTTTCAAAATGTATGTGCATCATGGTGTATCCATCAACCATTTTTTGTGTGCATATTCAAAATGTCCATAAAACTAGGTAGATGAAAACTTCTGTTGCATGAATATAGTTAGGAAAAGATCAATAAAAACCTTAAATTATTACACAAACTCTCTAGGGCAAATCGGTCAAATATATGCATATATAATGTTGAATGAAAATGTGCCTAATATAAAAGGAATCATCACGAGCTCTTGCCACCTGGTGTCATACATCACCAGAAGTGAACTTTCTTGAAGTGATTATTCCATTTCCATTCAATTTACCAACTTTCCCTAAAGGCCTAGAGGCCCTTTTTTAAGGTATTCATTTAGATTCAAAACATCCAGTGTGTTTTGATGTGTTTGAATTCAAATGAATTCAGTGAGCAAGCATGTACAGTACTAGAATTTTTAATGTCTTATAGTAAATAGGCAAAGTAAAAACTTTTTTTTTTTTTTTTTGAAATCTGGAAATCTCAGTTATCCAGATCCAGAACACTTGAGGTGAACAATTGTTAAAGGGGTGGTCCAGAGAGTACAGTTTGTGCATCATTTGTAAGAAAAAATCTGATAATTTTTCTACATATCGAATGAAAAATTATCATATGCAATTGTTTAACATGTCTTTTTCATGTTAAATGTTTCATGTTTAAGGTCCATATTGAGTCCTAAGGCAGATACTGATAAGATCAGGGCCTGGTGTGTAGATTTTGGTGGCTTTACAATGTGGTCACATGTTAATTGGTCAGTTTGATTGTCTCAGTATTTGCGCTTTGGTGACATGGTCAAAAAATATACATAATAATTGTGAAACTCTGCTCTGTTTATTTATTTATTTTTTTTCCTGCTCTATAATTTTTCTGCTCCACTCCTCTCCTCTCCTGCTCTGGAGGCTATCTTCTCTGACTCTACTGCTATCAGGGTCTTTTTGAGGCCTACTTACTGCTCTTTCTCTCTCTCTCTCTCTCTCTCTCTCTCTCTCTCTCTCTCTCTCTCTCTCTCTCTCTCTCTCTCTCTCTCTCTCTGAGGTAATTTTTTTTTTACATTAAAGCTGGGTTATTACTATATGTTTTTTTATCATTTCATGTTTTATCATTTTATACTATTTATAAATTTTATATTTTATATTTAGTAACTTATTCAGTTGTAACCATAGATAATTATTGTCAATAAATCAGTTAATTTCCAAGTATTTGTAAATTACTTTTGATTTAACATCAACACTTAATTGCTCCATATTGCAATACAATACAATCACAATATAGCAATGCTCTCCCACATTTTTAGCTATTAAAACAGCTCTTATTTCAGTTTTTGGTATAAGATTGCAGTAGGATGGTTTGACTAGAAATGTAGTTTTCCATCATCAATACTAACAACTTTTTAGTAATTCAGTAAAACTACAGTTCGAACCACTGTAGTAAAAAAAAAAAAAAAAAAAAAAAACATTCTTATACAGCTACTCTTCTAACATGAAAATGACTGTCATATGTCCTACTTCCTCCAAATGACCCACCCTCGAGAGGCTCTGATTGGTAAGCCAACATAATGTGCTGTGATTCGCGGATCAGTTCCAGGTCACCATGAAAAGTGGCATACCTCTAATAGCAGATGACTGTGCTGTATAAATTCTGTTAGTTAGTTTAGCTGTTAGCCGTATCAGTTTTAGCCTGAATTAGATTGAAAATGAAAAAGCTCACAATCTACAGCTTCATCTACTATGATTTGAGCCTTAAGGAGTTTTTAGCCAAATCCAGCACTGAACTGGGAGAGGTTATGTAAGCTGTCCTTTGTCAAATGCTAGGTATATGTTGTTTTTGTTGTTTTTTTGTTTTTTTCAATTCTCTGGAACAAAATTCTATGTGCATAATTGAAAGTGCATAACTTGAAGTGTTTGTGATCTCACTAAACCGGATGTATTTTTTGTAGTCCCCAAACTTCGTTAACTGTAGTCTTTGCCAAACTAACTCTGTAAAAGCCAATGTCTATCTTAGCATTAAACTTTGAGCGTATTACATTCACAGATGTTCGCACAGCTACATTACACATCAACTAAAGTATAAAATATGATATCGTAGTGGACCACCCCTTTAAAAAACATATTCCCACAACTATTTCACTTATGACTAGTAATGAACAGCATCAGTAAGACAATTACCTGTGATAATCCAAAACGGTCTGGTTTCTACAGATGTGTTGATGTTGTGGTATTCCAGAGCTGCAGAGGAAAGATAATGAGAGCGGAGAGAAAGAAAGCAAGAAAAAGGGTTGTAGAGAGGGAGAGTAGATAAGAAAGCTTGTTTCCGAAGACATCGCTTTGATCCTGGGTCCAGAGGCTTAGCTGAGCACATCTACTCTCCAACAGACAGTACAGAGAGTCTAGTCACATTCCCCAAATGAAACCTTTACTCAATTGCATACTGGCAGTGTGATTAAAGGCTCTGGCTGACATTCTGTCTTCTAGGCAGAATCGCTAAGCAGCCTGTAAATTTCCTGCATCAGTTGAATTACTTCAGTAATGTCTACTAAGGTCTAATCTAGAAGCAGCTTGACCGGTTTTGACCACTTTTACATTTTTACTCACATTTAATTGTAATATATAACTGTGTATATATAACATTTGCAGTCAGTTTTTCACTAATATTTAAATTGGTGGATCTGAAATATTAAAGTGTGACAAACATGCAAAAAAAAAAAAAAAAAAGAAATCAGTAGGATGCAGGGGGACACCACTGTTTGTGTAAATTTATGTTTGTATCTTTGTACATTGTTACATACAGTAGTACTCTCTGTATTATTAATAATAGTAGCTGTGTAAATAAAAGTAATCACTTTGATTTGTTTAATCAGGTAATTTGTACATATAATTTAGTTTTAGCAAATAATAAATAAACAAAGCAAATAATGCTATATATATATATATATATATATATATATATATATATATATATATATATATATATATATATATATATATATATATATATATATATATATATATATATATATATATATATATATATATATATATATATTTACATACATACATACACACACCGGCCACTTTATGATGTTCACCTTGCTAATGCCGGGTTGGATCCCCTTTTGCCTTCAGAACTGTCTTAACCCTTTGTGGCATAGATTCAACAACGTACTGGAAATATTCCTCTGAGATTTTGGTCCATATTGACATGATAGCATCCTTCAGTTGCTGCAGATTTGTCAGCTGCACATCCATGATGCAAATCTCCCCTTCTGCCACATTCCAAAGGTGCTCTATTTGTACCGTGAACTCATTTTCATATTCAAGAAACCAGTCTGGGATGATTCATGCTGTATGAGATGGGGCGTTATTCTGCTGGAAGTAACTATCAGAAGATGGGTATATTGTGGTCATAAAGAGATGGACATGGTCAGCAACAATACTTGGGTAGGCTGTGGCATTAACTAGATGCTCAATTGGTACTGATGGGTCCAAAGTATGCCAAGAAAATATTCCCCATACTCTTACACCACCAGCACAAGCCTGATCCATTGAAACAAGGCAGGATGGATTCAAACTTTAATGTTGTTGATGCCAAATGTTGATCCTACCTCCCAAATGTTGCAGCAGAAATCAAGACTCATCAGACCAGGCAATGTTTTTCCAATCATCTATTGTCCAATTTTAGTGAGCCTGTGCGAATTGTGGCCTCAGTTCGGAGTTTTTAGCTGACAGAAGTGACACAGTGTGGTCTTCTGCTGCTGTAGCCCATCCGCCTCAAGGTTCAATATGTTGTGCGTTCAGAGATTCTCTTCTGCATACCTCAGTTGTAACGAGGGGTTATTTGAGTTACTGTTGCCTTTCCATCAGCTTAAACCAGTCTGGCCATTCTCCTCTGACCCCTGGCATAAACAAGGCATTTGTGGCCACAGAACTGCTGCTCATTGGATATTTTCTTTTTTTTGACCATTCTCTCTAAACCCTAGAGATGGTTGTGCGTAAAAATCCCCGTAGATCAACAGTTTTTGAAGTACCAGACCAGCAGTCTGGCACCAACACCCATACTACGTTCAACGTCACTTAAATTGGCTTTCTTCCCCATTCTAATGCTCAGTTTAAACTGCAGCAGATCGTCTTGACCATGATTGTCTTGACCATATCTATCTGGTAAATGCCTAAATGCATTAAGTTGCTGCCATGTGATTGGCTGATTAGAAACTTGCATTAACAAGCAGTTGCATCTAATAAAATAGCCAGTGAGTGTATATTAACAAAGCAAAAAAGAAAGCTAAAAGGCTAGACTGCGAGGAGAAAGCAAATGACCTTACAGTCAGCACTGAGCAAAAGTGTGACAGTGAGGTGTGTGATATTCTCACCACAGCATTACAGTTGCTTGTGGAGCTGTGTACCTTCCACACACAGACAAACACATAAGTGTATACAAGACTCCCAACTGTTAATTATTTTCTCTGTAATTGGCTTTGATGTGCATGCTGTGCCCTGGCCCACGTATGCATGAACCTGTTTCCACCTCCTGTGAACACTACCAACTACACTGAAAATGTTGTATCTATCTGTTACATAGTATCATTACTATTCATTCAATTATTCATTCATTCATTCATTTTCTTTTCGGCTTAGTCCTTTTATTAATCTGGGGTCACCACAGCGGAATGAACCACCAACTTATCCAGCATTAAGCAGCGAATGCCCTTCCAGCTGCAACCCATCACTGGGAAACACCCACACACTCTTATTCAAACACATACACTACGGAAAATTTTACTTACCCAATTCACCTATACTGCATGTCTTTGGACTTGTTGGGGAAACCGGAGCACCCGGAGGAAACCCACGTGAACACGGGGAAAACATGCAAACTCCACACAGAAATGTCAACTGATCCAGCCGAGGCTTGAACCAGTGACCTTCTTGCTGTGGGGTGAGAGCACTACCCACTGTGCCGCCGCATCACATCAGTATAATCAGAAATAAAAAATTATATTCTGATATATATATATATATATATATATATATATATATATATATTTTTTTTTTTTTTTTTTTTTTTTTGCAATAAGTTCTATTAAACAAACGTTATGTGAATTTATGTGAAGATAATAAACTACTACAGTAGTTAATAGTGAAAATTGGGAAGTGTGAGAAAACTAAAATGCTGCCCCTGATTGTGTTCATATCATATTAAAGTGTAAAGGTACTACATAGTCAAATTTGTTCTCCCCCTTGCATATACATTATTTGAACATACATCCCTAGGCATAAATCTTTTTCCACCTCTTGTAAACACTACCAACCACAGTGAAAATGTTCTATCTATGACGGCAATTCTATGTCAAATTAATCGAGTGCACCGGTGATATTTATGCGCAAGAAGTGAACCGCGAGGAGATTACAGACCTACACGTGAAGAAATTAGTGCTCGTTTACTACATTAATTAATAGTTTTGCAGTACTGTGATGGTTGGGTTTAGGGTTGGGGTGGAGGTAGTTTTTATAAAATACAATTTATTGGGTAATTTAATAGATAGCATAAATAACACTCTGTTTTTTATTTACTGTTTTTACGTTACTGTGCGCGCGAGCACTAGTTTGTGTGTAGGTCTGTAATCTTCTCATGGTTTACGTCTCTTCATGCTTAAACATGCTCGATTATCTGGTATATAATATCATCAGAGTTATTATGAATAAAAACCATGTTCTGATTTTTGCTTTGCAATGACTATGCTAAATTATCATAACAAATCACTAGGTTTCTTTTGAAATTTCATCATCCATCAAATCATACATGAAATAGATATAAGGACTGTCAAAACTGCAATGCTTCCCAGCAGGCACACAACGTCAATATTAAGTTATATTTGAGTCACCAGTGTCTAAGGACAATCTTATTTTGACGTCCAATAACTGAGAAACTGTGAAATGAGGTTGATATTTTGTTGATTTAAGGTTGTATTGGAAAGTGACCAAAATCCAACATCATGTTGACGTCAAATACTGACATTTATATGTCAGGTATGGCAACCAAAATCCAACGTCTGATCATATTGTCATATTGTTAATTTCCACACAACATCAAGCTGTAATATCCTTGATATTTTGTTGTTTTAGGTTGTGTTGAAAAGTAACCAAAGTACAACATCTGTCCGACATTGATGTCAGACTGACGTTGGGTTTTGATATCAACACAATTTTCATCTGCAAACAAAATGCAACATTCCATGATGTTGGGGTAAAACGTCAATTCGATGTCATGTTGACGTCCTGTGCCTGCTGGGTCAGGAATGCCAGGAAGCACTTACGCTCAGCGGTGATTAGTGGAGGGTAAAACAGGAAGTAGCCAACAAGTTCGGCGGTCAGGTGACTGAGAAGGTTACTGGCTGTTGTGCCATTAAGTGTGACACTTCCATTACGCACCATATATATAAGAGATACAGCAGGAGAACCCAAAGACTGAGATGTGCTCAATATCTGAGAAAAAAGAAGACAGAGAAACAACACTTTAATATGAGGACCACTTATTTGAACTACAGTAGATGCTTATTAGTTTTCATATTGACTATCTGTACTTAAAGCACACACTAATCCCTCATTCTGCATGATCATATTCTACATCTATTAAATCTACAAACAAACTGATTCAATGACCATCATACTATTTGTAAACAGTACATTGGGTTTTTACTGAGACAAAAGTTGTACAAAATAGTCAATATGTGTTTTCCATACAAATATATTATCAGAAGCAAAACATATGACATTTGTATTTCAATTAACAAATTTGTACCGCACACACATCAAGAGAATGACATCATAATAACCCCCACCCCAATATAAAGAGTACTTTATTTGATATGGTAAAGTTCTAGATCAGATGAAGGTGATGAAAGGTAAGGCCTTCCAACCTGTACAGCGAGAGTGCTGTGTGAGTTCATCACTATGGCCTCAGCCTCAGCAAATGCATTCTCCAGTCTCTGCTCCATCATCTGAGTAAATCTGCAGGACCTGATGTCATCTCCTGGCCCTACAAACCGCAGTACTACACATACAGACATAAAAACATCCACACTGAAGAAACTGTGTCATATATTGTTGCAAAAAAAAAAAAAAAAAAAACGTTTAATGCGTGATTTACAGTGAGCTATTTGTTTTTTAAATAAAACTGACAAAAATAGTCAAGCTATTCTTTTTATCAGTAGCTATAAATATATATTTCTTTGCACTCTTAAAAAATGAAGGTCCCCCTGCATCTATGAGTTCCATAACAAACCATATAAAACATATAGTCCCAGTCCTTGGTTCTTATTGGCTGAATTGCTGCAATAAATTACTCTAGAAACATTGATGCACCTGTGACTGTTGTTTTGTGTTTAACATTTTACTAGTGTATATATAATCCACATTGGTCAGAGTTAACAATTTATCACTCAAGATTTAAATATTTAATTCTTGTTTTATCTGTAAGTATTCACATACTTTAGAAATGCAATACATACTGTAGTAATGTAGTCATGAATTATAAATCATTAAGACTTATTTATTGTTGGTTCAGAGCTAATTAATTGCATAATAAACCAATACAAAACAACATACTACACATTTCATGTTTAATGAAACACTGAATGCCAGGTTGATGTGGGGAAAGTAAAGTGTTAACCTTTGTAGACATACAGAAATATTTTGTTTTTAAAAAGTAATTAAAACACTACCTAAAATAGTAGAAAGGCATAAAAACATGAGCCATAGAAAACTTTTTAACTAAAATTAACTTTTATTAATCTTGATTAGTTTATGAAACCGTTTTTTTTAAAGCAAAAAAAATTTTTTTAAGCAGTAAGCCCAGTAAAACCATGGTTTACATTTGTCATAATTTTTGTGACGGACAAGTTTCTACAGACGAAAACTAGTTGAAAACGAAATAAAAATTAAGTGATGATGACGATAACTGTAATAAAAATATACTGACATATACTGTGGGCATTTTTCGCAAAGTATTATGGTATATTAATTTGTATATTCATTGTTACAAAAATTTACTGTATATCATGTTCTTATATTTACCCTTGTTTTATGACAAACCCTTATTATAAAAACTTACACGGGAATAAATAACTGACTTCATATGCATTTCAGATACTAGAGAGCATTTGATTAGTCAAAATATTTCATGAGAAGCCTAAGTATGAGGTGATGTCAAAAACATACAAATAACATTACATACAAATAGAAGTTACACAATTCAAGCTTATATCTTCTAAATGTGAATTTTTATGTCTTAGCCTTAAAGAGTCTCTATATCTTTTTGAAAAGGAGCTTCCATGCAGTGTTTAACACAGCAATAAGTAAATGAAAACATCCAGCTGAGCTTTAAATCTGAAAGGGCACTGTGTTTAAAAGTATTGATTTTTTTAAGAAAATATGTGACTCAGAGTCTAATAAATTAATCATGTTGGGATCTTTTGCATGAACATGTCAATGTTGATGTGTTACATCACCAAATATGAAGTGCCGGTTCCAGTAAAATGTGAACGTTCCTTTCCCTTCAGACACTGGGGAAATGCGGATCACGGGACTGATCATGACACAAAGAAGATGATTACTATCAGATGGAGATTCGGCTGCGATGAATAAACAGTTCATTTTCACAATAATACCACAATATAGACAACCTAGTGCTGTGTTTGTTCCTGTCATTTTTTTGATTTTTGATTCAATAACCTTTGCTGCAACGCGGGATTTATCCATGTACTATTAATGGAAGGAGCAGCAAAGGCTATCATATTTGGGGCTTTGTCAGACTTTGACAGGGACTTTCTGAGTAACTGTTGCAGTTTCTTGTTCTTCTGGATCATAACTTGTAAGTATAATTAGTATTGCTGCTTCGTTTTGTGTAGTTTGCAATATATGTACGTAATTGTGTGTTGTAACTTGCAATTGCCCGCACGGCTTGTAATCACTTATCTATTATAGATCAATGATTGCAATGTATATCTCAGGTTAGATCTATATGGGCTATTCACATACTGCATCCAAAACCATGTTGAAAATGTGACGCATGTTTCTTCCTTAACCAATTTGAATGAATTTTTGAATTCACAATCCTCTGCCATTTGCCTTTGCTATGGCCACCATCAGCTATTCATATACAAGTGAGGCATGGTCAATATTGAAAATAGTTCAACTTTTGCCACTGTGTAGATTAATACTGAACCTGTGCCTTTGTTATTAGTTGGAGTTAAGCTGCGTTCACATTACAGTTTGAGCATGCAATATTTTGTGGTGCGGCGCTGCGAAAAGGGGCGGGATTAAACAAGCTTATTAGACATTTAAAAAAGCGAGCGATTGCTCCATGTTTTCAATTTCTGTCCAGAGAGGATGTTTTGATCCTCGATTGGTCTCTCGCAGTCAGGTGATGCGATTTCGCAGGTCAGAGTTCATCAAGCTTGAACTTGCAAAATTTGACCCTGCGTTTCCGATCTGATGCATTCACATGCGTATGAATGGAAATCTATAGGAGAAAAAGTCCAGTGTGACCGCAGCTTTAGTTTTAAGAGTAGAGTAATATGCTGCTGTTTAACTGCATTGCTTTATTGCCCTCCTGCATTGCGCATACTCTTTGTTACTTCATAGCCATGGTGGGCATCTCTCTCTGGTCGACTGAACCTATTTGACCAATCACAAGAGACTGGGTCATCAGACCAATTACAGCAGATTAGCCTAAAGGGGTTTGTAACAAATGAATCACCATACAAATCATATGGCAGTCGTTAGGATATATAGGTAGAAATAAATAAGACAGTGAAAGTGTTTTTTGACCTTACATGCATATCAGCCTGTTGTTGGAGACCCCAAAACCAAAATATGACCTTTTATAATGCAAAGTAGGTGCTCTTTAAGGCTATCTATAAGTAAGTGCGCCCCAAAACAGTGACAGAATTCGCATTTATAAACATCCAAAGCTTGCACTTCGTCACAACTGCTTAAATATATAAATGGTTTCAGTGACATCAACTCATTCTTCAGTTTCTTATCAAATCTTCTGTCCAGTCAAATGCTTTTTAGAATCTGACATGTCCCGCCCATTTCAAGACACTTCTTATTTGCTTTTCATTTCATGAAATTGATCTTAAGCACTATCACTAGTAGAATTGTCATACAAATGAAATTCTATTGATTGTTTTTTAAAGGAAGGAGCTAGATGTTTGTTTCAGTTGGCATTGTCAAACATTGTATGAAAAAATACACATTTCAAAGCTCTTCACAGAACCATTAAAACTAATGTAGTAATACTAACACTTCCCCAAAAAAGACACTTTTATTTCACAGTGTCTTTAAAGGATAGGAAAAAATTATGTTTGTCAGCACTGACACATAGTGGTGGCAGAGATTGAGTTTGGAGTCTGACCTGTCTTCAGCATCAGTGAGATGGCAGGGCTGGGTCTCCAGGGGACTGCTGGGATGGGAACGGCCTGCACCAGTGGCACAAACTGCCGGATGTCTGCCATCAATCTCTCAATACCATAGACACTAAGAGCCTCCACAACTACAGAGGCACTGTATACCATCTCTCCATTGGTCACATAGTAACCGACCGTCACATTAGGCACACTGGAAATTCTCTCAAGCTGAGGAAGGTGGAGAAAAGAGATACTTATTTTAATGGAGCATTCAGTTTTTGGTGCCAATTTTAAAGTGGTTAAATATCAAGAGCTACATAAAAAAGTTATAACCTTAAAATACACACAGTTTACAATTATCTGTGCTATAGGTGATGTAATCTACTAGGATTTATGTTGACTTGCATTATTTGGCATTGAACACTTAATAAATAGATGAATTGATAATAGTTTTATAAATTGTTGTATCAACTTCAGATGAAATACTCTTTTGAGGCTTGCTGATTTACGGGACTTGCGGGATTTACTATTGAGGCACGCTGTGTGCAAAATTACTGCTACAGATTGTTTATGTTTGCCATGAGATGTTCCAACACAATCCCAGGTAAATCGTAACTTTTTCTAATTCGTATGAATTCTTACGCTACTCTAGTCTTACTCTAATTCATATCTCATTCGTCTAATTTAGTACGATTTGCTCATCACCTAATTACAGTTGGATTTACAGGCAGGGTTGTTTGCCACACCTACTTTAAAATCGTAAATTTTTATATGAACTTGTACGACTTCGGTCAAATTAGCTACTAAGTAACTAGTGAGACCAGGCTGGGTGCTCATGTCAGAATGTGGGATAGTAAAAGTGTCAAGTATGGATGATGTCAAACTCTGGTTGTTTCTTGCATGTCCGTCTTTGGCATGTCTTTATTGTCATTCAGTCTGACGTTATAAAAACTTAGATCCTACATTGTGACAAGGGATCTAAATTTGTGCAGTCTGACATGCTACAACCATTTAGGATTTTAAAAGAAATAATAATGTAAAAAAAATAAATTGCAATGTTAACCAAACTTTAGGTATGGATGAAACACTCATTTGAATAAATAAATACACAGGTATGAGAAATAAAAGATTCCACTCAATAGACACTCATAAAGGTGGCTGTTGAAGGGAAAACTAGACTGACACTGTTTCAATTTATTAGAACTTTAATGTTAAGCTGCTTTGACACAATCTACATTGAAAAAGCACTATAGAAATAAACATTAATTAAACTGAATAGAATATAAATTCTACAGGATGGTACAAAACAAGATATCAAACACCCCCCCAAAGTAGAATGTGTAAATTAGTGTTTGTCGTGCACATCTGATGCTAAAACAAACTGTAGTGCATATCTGATGCTAAACAAACTGTAAATGATGCCTATGTTATGAATTCATGAAGTGCACACCTTAGCTTGAACCATGCTGTCATTCAAGGCCTTCTTCAGAGCTTGAGTAAACCCTCGAGGGAGGTTCTGCTTCAAAATACTGTCTAGACGACTCCTTCGTAACTGTATGGACAACACTTTCATAAACAGAAAAAAAAAAGTTATTGCGATTGCTTTGAAGAAATGTATGCTGTTTTATGTTTCCAATATAATTAACAACTGCCAGTGGTATGATTTCAATTAAATTAACAGAAACAATCACCAGAGGTCCAGACTTACAGATCGCTGGTAAACATGCACCATCACCCGGACTACAATTCTGTCACTTAATGAACTACATATCCCGTCATGCACCTTATGCACCTGTTCCAGTTCCCTGATTATTGCATTACTAGGAGCTGATCAAAGACTAATTTCAAAGACTAAATACATTGCTCACATTCACACACACTTTGTGAAGTTTTGTTTTGCCCAGCCAACATTACAAAGTGGCTTCCTGTTTGCCTTGCCATGTTTTGTTGCTTGTCTTTTTTCCGTTTGGATTCTTTGCTGCCTAGCCTGACATTTGCCTGCATTTTGACTATGCTTTTTGGATTATCTTTATGCTACAGTTTGCCCCTGTTTTTGACCATTACCTGCACAACATTTCTTTAAATTATTTGCACATGGATCCTCATTTCTATTGTCAGTGTCTGTATGTTACAATATTAGAACACACTCTAACCAAGATTTTCCAATTTTGTTTGATTTTAGATTTAAGGATGGCTACATTTAACTGTTTTATTTTGGAATAAAAATGGTTACACTTTTTATTTTACACTTTTGTAGGGAACTTTAGTAAGGCACTTGACTAAAACAATTTTCAATGATAACTGATGTTTAGAGTTGTATTGTAGTTGATCCCAGATTAGGGATGCTCATTTCGGTTAATTTTGCTAACCGACAACCGCAGCTCATTAATCGGTTATTAACGGTTAACTGGTCAGATTACTATTAATTTTATATTAAACAAACTGACATGTCTACTTTGTGTCTGACACATTAAATATTGCATTTTAAAATACTGATTTATTTTTATATGCTAGCATATTAATAATAGAACATAACAACAGAGCATTTTCACGCACCTGCAGTGTTTAGCACAGAAGAGCAGAATAAACTAAATAAAATGAATAAAATAAATAGGACTGCCCTAAATTATTTTCCACTTAAATAATAAATTTATATTACAAATCGAAAACACTGACTGATTATTTTTAATCAATTTTTTATTTTCCCAATCATATTTTTGTCTTACGTCAAATAAAAACAGCTGACTTCCTCAAATCGCTCTCTCCACGGAAAATATGCATTTATTTAACGCCCCGCTGTTATTATTATAATCACAAAATCTTTTTACATTTTTAATAGAAATCATTATTTTAAAGATTATGTCTTGCTATATGGTTTCCTCTCTCTCCCTCGCGGTTCAAGTGTGCGCGCTACGTGATAAAAAGACAACAATAACGCGCGCATATGTTGACTTTTTGTAAACAGTTTTGTTGTTTAAATACGATATTGCATTAATGTGCATACATATTTTATAAGCTGTAAAATAAAAGGTAAAGCCTATTTGTTGTGTTTATGACGCAGATCCAGGTCAACATAAGTGCTTTTTTGGCATCAACACGTCTGTTTCAAACAATATTCTAGTTCCATTTTGCTTCTTTGGCAAATGTGTCTGTAGCCACGGGTTATACGCTATCGTCCCGCTAGTTAAGTATTTCTTGCAGTTGAACAAGTGGCCAACACAGCTAGCGTGCTTTTTTCATTCCAAAAACCTGAGGCGCACCTCACTGCCTTTATGTTGACAAGGAAAAAAGAAGAGAAGAAGCGCGGTCCTCTTATGAAACGACTGAATCAGCTGGGTATCGATTGTGCAAAAGTGTTGCTGTCTGTGTTGTTACAATTGTAATATTTAATACTATTGTGATATTCAAGATTTGTACATTCATACAGCTCTGGATAACTTAAAACAGCGATTAGACCTTCAGAGCGGTGTTAATGCGTCCTGAAGTAAAGCGAAACGGCTATAAACTCCAGCAAGATAGAGTGATTATATACAGAGTCATACTTTATCTATAAATAAATTATAACTATAGAAACTGTGTTCATCTTAACTAAAAGCTTCTGCATGTTTGCTGGCCTCACACATCGCGCACCTGTCAGTCAGTCAGTCAGCATGTATAACCCCAAAGGGTTAAACAGATAGCGCACAGCACTATACGGTTACAGAAAAGTTTGCGCTGTTATAATCCACTTACCTTTTATTACGTTTTGATTCGATTATAATCCGCAAATAAAAAACAACAACAACAATAACTGAATGTTTTGAATGGGTAATGTAGCCCGTGGCGGGATGCATTTTGGTCCCGCCATGGAAGAATGAATGTAGCGGAAACCAAGCTCTTTAAAAGTTGTCTGTGGTTGTCTTGACAACACAAACTGCTGCTCTGGGATGAGCCGCGTGCAAAAGATGCCCCTCTTAACACAAAGGCGCATTCAATCGGCCCCTTATGCAGCCAAACTAAAAATATATAAAATAATATTTTTAATCGTTTAACTGATAGCATTAATCGGTTACAAACGCATCCTTTCGGTTAACGGTTAATCGATTATTTTGAGCATCCCTATCCCAGATTATCCAAATTAAAGTCAAAAGATGGTAATATCAAAGTTAAAACAGAAACAACTTGCCCCTGAATCCATCACTAGACTAAGACCATCAAAATATGTTGTTTTATTCAAAATCACAACAACTTTAGACAAACCGCTGTATAATATTGACAATTGACTGTTCATACATATATAGGCAATTTATGCAAAGTCCTGTTAAAGTTTGAACTGGAAGTTGACTTTTATTTTTTTTGTGATTTTTTCCCCAAAGCCATCAAACTGACAATAACAGAGAAAGACCACCACTTCAAACGCAGAAGCAATTGGTTAATCAACTTTGATTAGAGAATACCAAAACATTTTTTTCAGTGCACTAACGTGCACAGATTAATTGTTCACCAAAAGAACAACAATGTGCACCAGCAAAATAAACATTGCTTTGTTTATTGTACTTTTAAGGTGCAGCATGTAAGTTTGACACCCAGTGATTGAACTAGGTATTGCACTCCTGGTTCAAAACACATGCAAGAGCAGGTTTGATGACACAAACAAATGAAGGCTGATTTAAATAATGTTTTAAATAAAAGCAACAGCATGCAGTGGCATTTGTATTAATATTAATTGAGTATTTGTCCTAACCAACACTTGAAATTTAGATTTTAGAAACAGCTTCTACTTCTTGCAGCTGAACAACAGAAAATTATGACGATGATCACCTCAGGTACACCTCCTGTGCTTTATTCAGTGTTAACTTCTAATAAAGTGAGTTTAAATGTCATTCTGGACATTGTCTTTCTACTAAAAGCAGTAGCAGATAGTTTACCTCAAATCTTGAAAAAAATTATAAACCGTCTGAAATTAAATCTTAAAACTGTGACTTAAATCAAATATCAGTGATTCAGCATGTGGATTTAATAATGATAAGAAGTTTAATATGCATTAATTAGATTGTAAACCTTACCATTTTGTTGGAGAGCAGTAAATGCACCATTCTATGCTTCTGAATGGCTGTGTTTTAATTTCTATCGGGTTGTGTCTGGTGCAAACAGCCCAATTGCTTATCACTGCAATTCTTGTGACAGGGTTACAATGTAACTTGCTCACTTAATGTTTACATTTGTGATTTTTATGTTATTTGCTAATCGATAACCGCCTCATGTGGAACTCTGAATCTGCAACTCATTTCGGAGGCTGTTACTGTTCCCTGGAGGTCACATTTTGGTTGCGGATGCATGCTTTGAGAGCTGAAAATAACTAAAATGACATTTGACAGGTTAAACGGACTAAAACAAAGACAGACGCTTCGACACGTAATGCGCATTTTCAAAGCAGAATATCTGATTTCTGCATTGCTTTTTAAACAAACAAGAATGTTCACTTAGCATATTTCTTAAATATCTCCAAACATATTATGGTATTTTAATGTTATAGAAGAGTCAAAAACTTACATAGAGCAGCTTTAAGCACTAATGATGAAATCAAACAAGTTGGCTTTCACTACAAAACTGATAAACTCTACAGAGATTTTCCTGTGACCGTTTATTTAAGACAAAGATACTATTTGACATAAACTATCTAACCTGTTTTTATCCACATCTTGTCTGTGATGTTACACCTCATCAGTGTGGCCTCAGTAGCAGCAACTTTTGGTGGACCTGCAGTGCTTCTTGAAGAATCCAGCTTGGTGCTTTGTGAGGTGGAGGCAAACCAGATTCTAGGTGTTGTCTTTGGAAATCCCAGAAGTGTAGTTGTAGTTGTAGTTCTGATAGTTGCACTGTGTGTTTTGGAGTGTCGTTTAGCAGCAGACGATTGGGTAGTGCTAATCTGCTTTGTGGTTGTGGTAAAGGGGGTGCTGGTTGTGGTAACAGTATTGCTGGTAAATCCTGTAGGTTGAGATACAGTAGTGGCTGCAATGGCTGGCTGTTCTTGTTGGGAGTCCACAGCTGTGTCTGAAGATCTGTTAGACGGAGCTGTGTTTCTCTGCTCAGAATCATTGGCTTGATGGAGAGTTTCTACAACTCTGGATGTGGCCGCAGGCACCACCAGCTCAGATATCCACTCAGACTCTGAAACAACAAAACACTTGTGAGAAAGTGACTAATCTGAGGACAATGAAAACATGGTCATGTGAAGGGATTTTGTTGATTGTAAAACTTGTAATGAGATGGCACTGATAATGGGGATAATGATTAGGTGGTGAATATTTCTTGTCAACTAATGTTGAACATAATAGAGTAGTATAGCTTATGTAGTACCGTTTAAATTAAAGCCCAGTCATGTTGTTTCTGGTGTTCCACAGGGATCGGTTTTGGGACCTCTTTTATTTCTTTTTTATATCTTACCTACAGGTACTGTTTTTTTTTTTTAGAAAATATTATAAACAGGGATGGTCTAAAATACATCAAAATGTATTTAAAAATAAAATAACATACCTCAATTTAAGGTGTATCAAAATTAAGTACAAAATACAGCAGTCACAACAAGTATCTAAATAAAACACTGTATTTTGAAAATACTACAAAATACTTTTACAAGGGAGCATGATTGCATTTTTTTTCCGCAAACCTTCTATCAATAGACCTATCGGATCAATGCCCTCACCATTAAACTGATTTAGTAAAGTAAACAATGATTGATAACAGCTTTGCTCTGAGCAAGTTTAAATCAGCTTCTCTCCAGTTTATTCACATCTACTCTACATAAAGTATTTATAAAAAATGTAACTTATGTAAAATTTTTTCATAAAACTTACATTATTTATAAGTAAAAATGTAAGTTTTATTTATTTCTCTTTGATTTTAGTAAAAATGTTGTACAAATTTCATACAAAAAGTACTGTCTTGAAGGCTATCTCTTTAATTCAGATAATGAGTTGGAATCCAGTACTATATCTTTTGATTGTGAAAATTGGCAACATTTTTTAACATTTTCAATACTCACTGTAAAAATAACCAATTTGCACATTTTTTTTTATTTTATTTTTTTGCAATTGTACTCTTCAAAACACAATGTAAAACATGATATCTCAAAACAATTGGGAGTTTTTGACTAGTAGACTGGAATATCATTTAAGTTTTTGTCTCATACTGATTAATTATGTCAAAGTTTGTAATAAACGATAAAGAGCACCTGCAGATAAGCTACTGGCATTTGAAACAGCCATTTTTTTTTCTGTAGGTATCACCACTGGAGGACTTTATGTTGTTTTGGTTATTTTCCTGTCCGATTTTGACCCGCTTCTGAATTTACCCCTGCTATTTGTATGTTACTTTCTTTATACATTATGTGATGCATAAATCCCATCCGTACACTGAAAAAAAATGATTTTTGCAAAACTATTGCAAACAATCTATTTGTGTTAAATTAAAACAAACAAATTAAATGTAAGAAAATTTTACTCAATTTGTTTGTTTAAATTCAACCCAAATAAATTGTTTACAACCACTTAACATAAAAAAACGAGTAAATCCAAGGAATCATCTTTGAATTTTTTTTTTTTTTTTTTCAGTGTACCGCAAACAATAATCAACTTCTTCTGTTATGTTCTGATATCAAGCCTAGGCAAATAACTGAGAAAGCATTAATCAAAGGTTACATTTCATGATGTCATCATGTAGACTTCTTACAAAGTATTTTACAGTATTTTAAAAATTCAAAAATACAAGACACTAAAATATTTTGATACAAAATACTAAGCCATTTTCCTAAACCTTATCAAATACAAATTATAAAATATTATTTTGTGTTTAAAATACGTATTTGAAATACTTGTATCATAAATTCTGCCCATCCCTGATTATAAAGTTGATTTTCAGTTAACTTTCCTAAACCCAAAAGTAATAAAACAGAAATTCTTCTCACTGACACAAAAAACACAATACAAAAGTCAAAAATTTTCTCAGGGACATTAGACAATGGCTCTCCTCCTTTGCTGAATTAGATTGACAGTTTGAGTGTCATCTTTAATCAAACCTTGTTCTTTAAAGATCATATCAATAGCCTTACTCAATCAGCATTCGTCCATATTAGGCATATTAATTACCTTCATTAATCCTGTCATTTCGTTGAAGAGCACTGCTACTCTTGTACATGATCTCTTAACATAACAAACTTTTGTTCCAAATTATTACATTAAATTTATCTTTATTTCTATAGTGCTTTTACAATATAGATTGTGTCAAAGCAGCTTAACTTAGAAGTTCTTGTAAATTGAAACTGTGTCAGTCCAGTTTTCAGAGTTGAAGTTCAGTTCAGTGTGTTTTAATTTTCACTGCTGAAAGTCCAAACACTGAAGAGCAAATCCATCGATGCACAGCTCCACAAGTCCCAAACCAAGCAAGAGCAGTAACAACAGTGGCAAGGAAAAAACTTCACCAGTTGACAAAAGTGAAGGAAAAACCCCTCGAGAGAAACTAGGTTCAGTTGAGCACTGCCATTTTTCCTCTGGCCAAATTTCTTGTGCAGAGCTGCAGTCTAGGCGCCGGAGGCTGGAAAACACTTGACGGCCTTTGTGGAGAACTGCAGTTATGAGTAGGTCACAGGTGGGGCTGGCCCACGGGATCAATGCAAACACTCATCATTTTACAGTAAGTACAAAATGCTACTGCCTGAAAGTTATTACAAAAAAATTCAATTTTGCATCATATCTTTTGCTACTGACACACTTTCCCTAGCTTTGACATGTTATTCAGATAAGGTTTGGTCACTTTTATGCAGGCCAGCCCACACTGATGTGCATCCTTCTAAACTCAAAATGAAATGAAATCAAAATGAAAAATACATATACATCTGATTGACTTTAGGTTGTATCAGTCCCTTCTCACATTGCTAATGCCTCCACAGCTAAAATAATATGCTTGCATAACAAAATTAATTCTTATATATTTCCCCTCTCTCCTTTGCCCTTCTCTTATCTTTTAGAGTGTTTTCACATCTGTGGTTCTGTTTATTTGGTCAAAACCAAGAGCAACCAATGGTACATTGTAACATTTTTCTGCTGTTTTTGGGTGCTTTTCACACCATGCTGATTGCTTTGGTTCGAAATCTGCATCATTCATTGGCCAGATGTTATTAAACATGTTTTCCAAACTTCTTTTCGATTTGCCAAAATTAATGTGGGAGCAAGTGCCAATTGAATCCCTGCAAGTAAACAAACAGGCAGACACAAAAAGTCACTGCACTGCAGTAAGACGACTGGACTGGCTGATTGGATCCCAGGTCATAGTATACTATGTACATATTTTGTATGCATCACTTTAGACAAACTATACATTTCAAGAATAAAGCACGACTGCAGCTGGAAAACAATGTTTTAATGCATTGAAACGGTGAAGGTGCATCGCAAGTCCCTTCAGGAGGAGGCATGAATTAATTTAGCTAAACTGGGAAATGGTCATCTTTCAGAAGTATTACCAATGATCCAACAGGTAATGTTTATCCCACTCTCTCTCACTCTCTCTCTCTGTTTAAAATTGTTGGTAAAGCACTGTCAACAAATACTTTCCTCCACTCCCCATAAGATGGGACAGCGCATTGGACTACAGCAGCTGGAATAATCCAAAAAGGTGCAGTACTTTTTGAGGTTGAGTCTTTATTAGTTCAGATCATGTTCTCACCACAAACAAACCACCACAGGGTTCATTTGAAGGTATACTGAGACCACCTCTTTAAGGAGGTCTAGGTATGCTTTTTTGGTCCGCTTTTGGTGCGCATTCAAGTGCCATTGCTACATTTACACCTGCCAAAATGAACCGCACCAAGAAGGAAAACAAACTTTAGTGGGATTCAACCAATCTAAGGCCCCATTTACACTAGTGCGTTTTAATTTTAAAACTAGCGTTCCACTCAGCGTTTTTGAACAGCTCTCTTTTTACACCAAAATGCTGAAAACGCACATCACGTGACCACACACTCTGGCAAGTTCTGCAGCCTATCTACACAGATGAGAGCTGTGCTAGTCGGAGTGTTCATCAAGGATGTCTTCCTGGATCTAATATCACTATATTTGTTAAACGAGATATTTAATTCATCTTATTGTCTATATCTAACAACATATTCCCCGACTTTGGTCTTTTGAATCTATTACTTGTTCTCGGGTAATGTGTTTTGGCTGATCGCAGAGATAAATGAATAATTAATCTAACCACGTACAGTCCGTATATTGAGTTATTGCTTGCCTTTATTTCCTATAATGTATAAACTTATTGTACGTTATACTTTTATAATGTCTATTATTGATTATTAAAACTGATATTCAGGAAAAGAGAGGGTATGTTTCATATTTTCAATGAAAATTAAAGGAGGCAGTAATGCTATAGTCTCTGTTTTGTTATAAATATCCACACAGTGAAGATGAAGATCATATAAGCAGCACAACGCCTCAACATTTCTGCTGTCTGTTAAGTTGTTAATATCAAAATGAAAATAGCAGTTCCTTTATGTTTTCATTTTATTGTTAAGAAAGTGAAACAATGTAGCCAGGATGATGTGAATAAGGTTATACAGTACACTGTTCCCTTTGAAAATGTACCTGTGTTTTCCAAATTAAACTTTCAGAGTCTGAACTTAAAAGGAGAGGATGCAGAACGTTCGAGGTTACTAAAGTAACCCTTCGTTCCCCGAGGAGGGGAACGGAAGCACTATAAGTGGATTTGATTTGTAAAATCCACGCATTGGGAGGATTCGGATCAGAAGCCGCTTGTCTGCAGAGTATTGAACGGGCCAATGAATGAAATTAATTGGCAGCGTAAGCTTGCGCAGGTGTGCGACATCTGCAATTATCTCAGCATATAAGCACACCTGAAGCCAGCAGACGCCATCCTTTTAAGCTGAAGAGACTTTCAAACAGCTAAGGGACAGTCATTATGGCGACGGAGTATAGTGCTTCCGTTCCCCTCCTCGGGGAACGAAGGGTTACTTTAGTAACCTCGAACGTTCCCCTTCGGGGGGAACTTCAGCACTATAAGTGGATTTGATTTGTAAAATCCACGCATTGGGAGCCCATTGAAAGCGCCATAATGACTGCACCTTACCAACACCCCCGATGAGGAGATAGTCAAGCAAGCGT